ACTTTTGTACCATCAACTTTGTAATTTCCTCTACAGTTTGGTACACAGCATTTAAATACCATTATTCATAACACTAAGAATTAAATTAATGCTGAAATTTATAACATTTGTAGAATAAATATAAATTTTACGAAGAACGTTTACATCAGAACACCGACGGTTGTTTACAAATTCTAATCAAAAATATTCGCCAATTGGCTGAATGCGTACACAGGTTACAATACTTCAGAATATCGCCAATGGCTCGTTTGATCAGATTCGGATTTTTTCGAAAAAATAGCTACCCTGACTGGTTTTCCTCTGGGCCTAACTCTACTACGTCATCATCGCCTATAGTAACCCGTTGTGAGGCTTTATTCCTCTAGGAGGTATTGGACTAACCCATGCTCCGACTACTACAGGATATTTTACGTCAACATAGTGGTCGTGTGAGCCGGGTGATGAATTCGTATCGACCAACCATCGCTGGGATTCGAACCCGGGTTAAATTATCGGAAGACGAGCGTTCTATCTCTTAATGATGAAGTTTTCTTTCATTTTGATAAAATTTTAATAAGTACTCATTAAAATTTCAAACAGTATCACAAATAGCCAAGGTTCTAATTGGCTGGAAGAGGAACTTACTAGCACAAGAGCCGGTAAGAAATGGCTACAAGTAGTCAGTTACATAACGTTATGACGAAGAAATCCAACTATGTTATAAATTAGACTGACTCAAACTTTTAAGGGTCAAAACAAAAGAGCTAGAGTATCTCAGAGGGTAGTCAGTTCAAAACAATTGAACATTTGAGTAGAATTATTTTATAAAAATAAAAAACTGGTCGCGAGAAATGGATAAACTAATTTCAACGTATTTTTCAGGGCCCGTCCCTACATATCGCTGCTACAGAATTTCCCAAGTTTACGAGCAACATATTTTTCCTGGTAGTAGCAAAGGCAATGTAGAAAAATTTAATTAAAATAATTTTTTCTACTACTAAAGATGAACTATTTAAATATATATAAAAGGACAGAGACAAATTGGCATATTTTGCTCCAAGTGTTTTATTAGGAGTTTTACAAAAATTCTAATTCTTTTAACTTAAAAAATTATTTCGCAAGTACCTCAAATGGTGGAGGATATGTATAGTTTATAAATTTGGATCTCATTTATTATAGCAAATGATATTCAGATAATATCATTACCAACCAACAAATTTATAGTTCGATAAAAAAAATAAATGTTTAGAAATTAATAAAGTCTTTCCTTTGTATAAGTTACAGCATGCAAAAAAATAAATAAATCATAAATGAATTAATAAAAAGAAATTAAACATCCTGAATAATTTTTGATAATAATTATCAAATTTTCAAGCACTCGGAGGACTCAATTTTAATGGTTCGAGAGGGTGACCACAAATATGCTAATTAGTGTAGGCGATATATTAAGTTAACGAAATCAAAAGCAAAATTTTTTTTTCTCTGAATAAACACACATTTTTTTCCGCGGGTCTATGATTTTTTACCCCAAAAATTTAGAGGTGGGGGGGGGACATAATCCGAATAGTATGATTAGAAAAGAGAAGATCGACGTTTGCTTATTTTTAATTTTACTTTTCTCAAATTTCGCCATATCTCGAGAACCTTTTAAGCTAATTCGAAAATTCTTGAACAAAATTATAGAATTCATATATCTTAAGATAATTTCTAGACGAAAATAATTTTTAATAATTATTTATTATTAGTTGAACTAATTTTGAATTACAAAATAAGCAAATTAAGGCACTTTATTTCTTACCTGAAATAATGTGGCTGAGTTGCTTGGACAAAAAGTTTTACTAATCTGCATTCATTTTTATACACAAATCAAATATCCTTAACCTAATACAAATATCAATATCCTTAAAATAGTAACGCCAAACCTTTAAATTAAAGTTTCCCATACCATATCCATAAAATTATGGATGAGGGGGTAGGAAAAGAACATTTAAAGGTTCTTTTTTTTTTCTTAATCTCCATAATTGTAAAGATACTGTCATTGACTTATGACTTTACAGCTGTCATATTAAAACCTATCGTTCAATTTGTTAAAATTTACAAAAATAAAAGTCACCACACCCAATTTCAACAAACTTGCAAGTTGCAATTTCAACAAACTACATTATTTCTCATTAAGTGGCAACACGAGAAATTCAAAAATACATTTCACGATTTGTTGCATTCAAGAAAAGAATAACATCGCTTCAATTAACTGAAAATTCCCTCCAACGCTTGTCAAAGAAAAACGACTGTTTTGAATAATGAGGCCCGACAAACTTGTCGACATTTAGAATGATATTTTGGAAGTGACCTTTTTCGATCTTCTATTTTCCTAAGTCCAAAGACTTTTACGTCACGTATGCGGCGGTGGCACCACAGGAACTTATCTCGATGGCCATGAAGTAACACCCTCTATAAAAGGTCAGTGAGAAAATTACATGAAAATAAAGGCTAAAGAAGGTTTCTGAAGATTTTAAAAGGTCTTCTCTTTTCTATGGGAAGGTTAAGATTTGAAACAGGTGAAGCGGTGTTTAAAATAAGCCGGCAGATGCACAAGAAAGGTGAAGATTAAAATCTCTACACTTTCATATACAGTTTTAAACAATCGAGGATGCCTTTAGGGGAAGTTACATTGTAAAAATTTTGCAAAGCGTAACATTCTTCATAAATAACTCAGTTTGATTTTGTAAGATGATTAAAAAGGGAAATGACTTCACTTTACTTTTTAAACGCACTTATGGATAGCAATACCATATTCTATTCCAGCGCTTCTCAATTTTTTCCCGGCTACAGAACCCTAAATGTTCGATCTTCTTTTAGGGGAACCCACAGGTGCCAACTTGCTCCAGACAGCAAATAAATATTTTCGAGTGGTAATTTATTAATAAGTGATTGTTGGCTTTAAAAATTCAATTTATTAGGCTTTTATCCACCACTATTTCTAAATAATTCGAAGACTTATATAATTCGCCATTTTGTAACTGTTAAGTAACGCTACGCCATTTAAAAATGTAAGCAAAATTAGTCAAATAATTGCAAATTTTAGTTTGTAGTTGTTTACCATTCCTTAAATTATTATGGCGCGTCCGGAGCAGTTGGCATCTCTGGGAACCCCCGAGACTTTTTAGAGAAATTAGGATAGAGAGCAGGGATATAGAGTTCGCCTTCCAATGAGGTGAACCGGGTTCGAACCCCCCAGCGATGGCTTGTAGATACGAAATTCGCATCCAATTTGCACCGACCACAGTGCTGACGTAAAATATCCTCAGTGATAGACCGATCATAGGTTAGATACCCCTTGCCTTTAACCTAACCGTGGAAGGTTTTCCTCTCCACGTAAGGCAAATACGGGCTAATTCAATCAAAAAGTCCTCCATGAAGGCAAATTTCACCCATTACTTGAATCAACTTGATAATAATTTAAATGATTTAATAATATTTACAAAGTGTTATGCATAACATTTTCCACAAAAGTTTTGCACATTTTAGTCATCATTATCAATCGGGATTAAAGTAGGTTTTAACCTTTTTTATGCAGAGAACTAATTTTACTACTTTTTACTGT